CCAGATTTTCTCTGAGCTCCCTTCATGCTCCGAGCTGAAGCACTGGGGCTGGTTGAAAGTTTTCCATTTAAACTCTTCTTTGATGGAAAATTGGGACTTTGATTAAAAAAATTTTCATGAAAAGTGCTGGCTTTCTGCAGGGAATTTTGATATTTATTGAAAAACCTGAACACCTGAAATCCAAAGAGATTTCACGTTTGGGCTGAAATATTTCAGGTCTTCCACCATCGCCCACTGTGGGAGGAGGGATAGCTCAGTGGTTTGAGCATTGGCCTGCTAAACCCAGCGTTGTGAGCTCAATCCTTGAGGGGGCCATTTAGGGATATAGGGCAAAAATCTGTCTGGGGATTGGGCCTGCTTTGAACAGGGGGTTGGACTAGATGACCTCCTGAGGTCCCTTCCAACCCTGAGATTCTGTGATTCAATATCAAGATGATTAGTCTTAGAAGCCTGACAGAAACTCCCTGAGCAGGGTGGCCTAGAACTCACCAGCATCCACATGGTGGCATGATTCCTGGGATTCATATACTAAGTAGTTGTGCTAGACAGCTTTCATTCCTGGGACGGGGCCACCTCCTGTACCTGGGTCAGATGAAAAAACCCAGCCTTGCACCCAACCTGTCATGCCTGGGCTCATAACTGAATGCCCAGTGGGAGAGTGTGTGCTAACACAGGACTAGCTGAGTCATCCAGCCAGATTTCAAGGGATGTACACAAGACCAGACCCCTCTTTATTATCACTATGATCTGATGGCACTCATTTGTAAAGCACTTGTCACTCCTGGGCTGGTGGCATGATGGGTCCTGGTATCTATGGAGGGAAAGACCAAAGGAGCAGCAAACTGTTTTTACGCCGATACATAGAACTCACTGGGTGGTTATTGGTTTGTCAAGCACCAAGTACATTGTCAGTGCCCAATAAATAATAATTAATAATAGGTATTTCCCACACCTGTACCTCTCCATTCGCTGAAATCCCCAAACCCTCCACCGGATATTCCCACTACATCTCTCCCTGCTCATCCACTAAAGTGCCATCATTTTCTACCCTCTGCTGTCATTCCCTCTCCTCCATCCGACATCAAGAAACCTCACTATCAGAAGGGTAGCCGTTTTAGTCTGTATCCACAAAAACAATGAGGAGTCTGGTGGCACCGTAAAGACTAACAGATTTATTTGGGCCTAAGCTTTCGTGGGTAAAAAACCCACTTCTTTGGATGCATGGAGTGAAAATTACAGATGCAGGCATAAATATACTGATACATGAAGAGAAGGGTAAGGTAACATATATTTATGCCTGCATAAATATACTGCCTGCATCTGTAATTTTCACTCCATGCATCTGAAGAAGTGGGGTTTTTACCCATGAAAGCTTAGGCCCAAATAAATCTGTTAAACCTCACTATGTTTCAATTAAAACCTTCTGATGAATCATTTCCCCCCACCCCCATTATTTGCAGTTCTCAGCACCAACGTGCCCACCGGCACCCAGACCCACTCCGTCCAAATCCTCTTCATATCCCCAGCCTCTCCCCATCCCAGATGCATTCCACCCCGTACCCTGTGTGCATGCTCAGTTTCCATTCACTTGTTAAAGAAGGGCTAGATTGTGATGTCCTTGCTCACTTTGGGTAGCATCTTATCCCATCAGCAGCCCCATTATAATCAACCAGGTGATACCTGGGGAATAAAGCACTACCAGGTGCAAGCAAGAGTATTACAATCTGACCCTAAGTGTTTCAGCAACAAATTACTCATCAGTCTGCAAATATCAAACTCCACTAACCTGGTGGCTCTTTTTTTTTCTGGGAGAACGGGAAGAAGGTGAAGAAAAAGAAAACTGCGAAAGCAAGTGACACAGAAATGAAAAGTTTGGACCCAACTACAGAGAGGTCCAATGGAGACCACATAACCGGAAAGTGCATGCTTTCCTCCCTTGTATTTATAGACATTATATCAGCCCGCTGGAGCAGCTGCCTCTCCCATGCCTCCCTCTTATTGGCTGATATAAAGGGCATGGCCTTACATTGAAGAGGTTTGAATCACATTGCCTTACAAACTAATTTTAAAAACCAGGGCCTGATTCCCACTTACACTAAGGCCTCTTTATGTCACTCTGGCAGCGTAAAAGTGCCTTGAAGTGGGTATAAATGTCCTCACCCCCCACTGAGAGCACCCTCCGCACAGAGGGCCACTGTGGCTGATTCAGAACAGGGATAAAGGCTCTACGACAGCCCATTAGCCCACAGCATAGGAAGTGGATAAGGGGTGTAGCCAGAATGCACCACACTGGCCCCTAGGAAGTAGAGTGTAAGTCAGGACAGCCCTACAGTTTCTCTGACTTACACCAGGAGTCAGGCCAGGCACGGCCACAGAATACAGGGAATGCCAAAGTGGCTTCAATCTACCTTAAACCCCCTCCACCCACACACCGTTCATTCCTGCCCCAAGTGCAGAAAAATAACTCAACACCAGGCCTATAAAATTTACTTTATTTCAGTTATAAATGGTTAATTTCAACTGCTCAGCGAATTAAAGTTACAAACAGAATGGCCTCTTGGATTCTCACTGCAGAAAGCACCATCATGATTTGAACGAACAGCAGGATCGTATTCTGCGTGAACTACCACAAAGGCTACTCCCGTGGGAGTTGGAGTTCTCCATTCATTCCATGAAAAGAAGCCCCGAGCTAATGGTATTACTTCTAGTTGAGCAAAGGATGTGAAGACAAATAATTAACCAGACTGATTCATGGGCATGGCTAAGCAACCAGAAATCACAGGGAGGTGGGGACAGCGTCCCAATACAATGATTATTATCTCACGGAAGTGCTTTGTAGTGAATGGGTCCAGCATCATTAGCGAAGCTGACAAGTTCAAGAGGAATGCTGTAATCTTGCATGTACACAAGCAATGGATACGAGTCCTTTCATGGCCAAGAAGTAACACAAATCTTTTATTTACTCCTGTGAGGTAGGTTTTAAATATAAGAAGACAAACGCTGGATGACGGCTGGGTTTTGTAGTGTCACCCGTCAAAGCCAGAATACAACCTCAAACACAAACGCATTTTGAAGGCCAAGTCAGGGTTGAGAGTATGCTCCTTCAAACATAATTACTTCTATTCAGTGAGCAACACAATGCGAGTCACACAACACATGGCAAGACAAACAGGCCCACAGGATGATGGGAAAGGTTATAGGGAATAGGGAAAGACTAGTTCAAAAATACCCAAGGGAAACAGTAGCTCCCAAGATAGTATATATTGCCTGATGCCAAAGACTGTATGCATCAATGCCTGAAGACAATATTACAGCTTCAAAAAGAGAAAGCAGGTCCACAACCTCTCTTGTTCTACTCCCCAATGAGACTGCCTTGTATTATTATTGCTTATTATCTGTAATATGGTAGACCCAAGAGGCCCACCATAGGGAAACATAGACAGCAGCCAGGGTCCCATTGTGCTAAGTTGAAAAATATAGTAAGAGACAGTTCCTACCTCAAAGAGCTTGCAATTGAAATAGACAAGACAGACAAAAGGTGGGAAGAGAAAGAGAGGCACAGAGACAAGTGACTTGCCCCAGGTCACACAGCAGGTCAATGGCAGAGCCAGGGCCGCCCAGAGGATTCAGGGGGCCTGGGGTAAAGCAATTTCGGGGGCCCCTTCCATAAAAAAAAAGTTGCAATACTATAGAATGCTATATTCTCGTGGGGGCCCCTGTGGGGACTCGGGCAAATTGCCCCACTTGTCCCCCCCGGGCGGCCCTGGGCAGAGCTGGGAATAAAACCAGATATCCCAAGTAGAGCAAGGTGACATTTTTCAGATGAATAGTTTATTTGCTGAAAAACGCAGTTTTGATCGACCCAAAACTATATGTGAATTTGCCCTGGTTGGTATAGGTTGTTAGTCTTATAAAGCCAAAGAGAATGACAATGACACTTTAGTCTGGTGATTAAGGCACTCACCTGGAAGTAGGAGATGTGGATTTAAATCCCTCTTCTGAATCAGGCAGGCAGAAGATTTGAATCCACATCTCCTACCTCCCAGGTGAGTGCCTTAATCACCAAGCTAAACAGTTGTTTGCTTTCCCTGGCCCAATGAGGAACAATATTTTATACAAAGGAGAAGACCTTCAACAGGAGAGCTTGAGACCAGACTAGGCTACAGCCTGATGGTTGGGCTGCTCACCTATGTGGGGGGAGATTTGAGTTCAAGTTCTACTGCAAGAGTAGGGATTCAACCCTGGCTTTACCACATACAGGCAAGTACCCTCACCACTGGGATAAAAGTAAACACACAGTTTTCTGCAGCTGACTGAATTTTTTCAGTTTTATTTAAGTTTGCTGGCCAAACCAAGTTCCAGTCTGGCATCTATATGTACCAGGCCATGCTGCCTCAGCAAGCTTCATAGAAAGGGTCAGGTGCACTCCAAGTTTCCCTCATTTCCACCGACCCCTCCAGCTGAAATATATTTTAAGGTAGTTTCAGCAGAAGTGGGTTTCTGAAAAGCAGCAGGGCTGGCCCACTCCCAACTGGAGAGAGCAGGATAATTTAGTAAAGCAGGGTGAAAAATAATTTTTTGGTGAAAATAAATATCCCCCCTACCCCTTCGGCCCCCGGAGCACTTTGCCCCCTCCCACCCCAGGGTGACATCACCCCCCTCTGCCTCCCCCCAAGAGCCCCCCTCCAATCCTGGGGGGGTGACACCGACCAACCTTCGCTCCTCTCCAACCCCCCCATCCCTGCTGTGACCCCCCCTTTCTCCACCCCCTCGCGCGGACAGCCCCACTCTCCCGCCCCGCCCCGCCCCCCGCGCGGACAGCGCCACTCTCCCGCCCCGCCCCCCGCGCGGACAGCCCCACTCTCCCGCCCCGCCCCATGCCCTGGGGTGACGCTGACCGCGCGTTTCCCGGCCTGCCCCGCGCCGAGGCGCTCGCCAAACGATCACTTCCGCTCCAGCCCGCCTGGTTTCCGGCCGCCTCGTTGCCGGGATTTGGGGTGAGGGGCCCGCGCGCTCCGCCTGGTTCCGCTTCCGGTAAGAGAGTCCTGCCCGCGCCCGGTGCCCCCCCCCGGCCCCCCCCCCCCCCGCCCCGAGACCTCGGTTCCCCCCCCCCCCCCGCCAGCTCCCGGCCCGGGCCGTGAGGGACCCCCGGGTCTTTCAGAGCCCGGTCCCTCAGCCCTCCCGCCGGCCCCCCTCCTCCGCCAGACCCCGCCGTGCCCCCCCGGTAACTCTCCCTACCCCCGAGTGCCTCCCACCATGTCCCCCTACCCCATTCCCTCTGCTTCCACCCCCGTCAGACACCCTGATCCTTGGGGTGTCTCCCCCCCGTATCTCACCCCCCCCCGACAGTCCTCTCCCCCACCTTCCCGGCTGGCCCCCTCCCCTCAGACCCTGGTGGTGCCTCCCCCAGAGGTCCCCACCACTGCTGGGGCTCTGCTCCCTCTCCTTGGTGGCCCCCCGTAGCTCTGACCCCTGAATGGCTCCCACTCTTCTCCCTCCCCACCTGCAAACTCCCCTGCCAGACTCTCTGACCCCTTCCCCAAATGTGTCCCCTTGTCCCTAACGTCCCCCTCCGCTGCTACTTCCTTTCCTGCTAACATCCTTCTGAGACCTCATGATCCCATGGTGCTCCCTCCCCCCCGCAATAACCTTTACCCCCAATCATTCCTTGTGTCCCACCACTTTCACCACCTGCTAACATCCTTCTGTCAGATTCCTGCGTCTTCCCCTTCGGACCCCTGCCATGGTGGTGGTGTGCACCGTCCGTGCCCTGTCGGATGCCTGTGTCTCTCCTTCTCTTTCCCCATTGGACCCTAAACACACATACCCCTTGTGTGTCCCTCTCCAGCTTGCTAACATCTCTCCTGTATCTCCATCTGTAACCCCTATTGTCTCCTGCACCTGCCACTATCTCCCTGTTAGGAACCGGTGTGTTTCTCCCTTATCTAAACCTGAAACCTGCTGTGGATCTCCTTTCCTCCCACTGACCCGTCCCCCTGTTCTCCCCACCCCCACATACACACAGTAACCCCTAACAATTCTTGGTGTTCCTCTCTATCTAACCTCTAACCCCTTGCCATGTGTGTTTCCTTCCCCACTTGCTAACATACCCTCTATTCCCCCACCATAACTCCTAACATCTCCTCATGTCTTTCTCCCTTCCATAGTGACATCTCCCTCTGTTATCCCCTCCATAGTCCCAATCCCCCCTGTCCTGGTGTGTGTGCATCCCATCTGCTAACATTCCACTGTGTCCCCCATGCTCCTAACAACCTTGGTATGTGTCACCCCCAACTACTGAAATCCCTTGTTCTACTTTGTAACCCCTAATACTTCCCCAGTGTCACTCCCGCTCACCAATTTACCTGTTGATCTCACCCCTTAATCTCCATCATCCCCTGATATAGCCCTCCTGTAATTCCTCCATAACTCCTAAAACCACCTAGTGTCCTCCATGCCCCCATCCCAGCCAAAGAAACCAAACACCGTCCATGTTGTGCTTTGTACAGAATAAACAGTAGGAAAGGAAAATATTGTAATATCCTTACCTTTTACTAAAGGGAAAAGGGAACAAGTTCCTTCTTTGGAAGCTTTCTCTTTACAAGATCTAAAGGAGAAGAGCCTAATGTGGTGCTTACTGTTGCTGCAGGGCTGTAAGCCTCTGGATCTTCTCTTACAAAAAGTACGGTAGGAACTTCAAGACTATATGTGATCAGGAGCTCAGTTTTATGGCTCATGAACCCCCTTTAGCTGGGTGTTTGTGGATATTTCTGACTCTGAGGCAACAAGAATATCACGTATTGAGTCTTGCAGCAGCTAACTGCAGGCCTCCCTTTCAAGTACTAGACCTGTCCAGTCTTTCAAAGCAAATAGATGGGAGATCAAATCATCCAGCACTGGTTCCATGGCCAGTCTTATTCCATGCTGCACTGGGGAGCAGAGGAGCTTCTGTCAGAGGGGAGAGTGCATACCTGTGGTCTAGAGAGCCTGATGGCCTATGTCGTTGGTGATGTGAGTGCAATTTGTTGCATTTCAGAAGCATTCTTTAGGAGTTTATATAGTGGTAGGTAACACACCAGTCAACTGGGTGTCTGGCAGACCAGATGAGTTATGGGACTGTCCCAGGAATGAAGGGGGGGCAGTCCCTGGCATGTAGAAAAGATGGCAGCTGCCAACATTTAGTGCAGAAAAATGGGTGCACAGCTTAACAGACTGAGATGGAAGCTCTAAAACCTTTGGGTAGCAAGTTCCAGCTCTCCTGCTGTCCCTGTGTTCTTTTCATTCAGGGAAAGCTAGTGTCTGCTTGGACATCGGGTTCATACTTAATTTGGCTATTTGAGGTCTCTTGTGTTGTGTGAACTGTGTCTATAAATGTATTCTTTCTCTTCCTTTTCAGTCCCCTTGAGTTTGTCGTCAGCATCAGTGATGTGAGCAGTCTGGAAATGGGTAAGTGTGTGTGCATTTCTGCTAAACCGTGTTAGAGAGGGTGCGCGGTCTCTAGGTGTGTACAGGACCAAACTCAATAGGGTATCTGAGTGCTGCCTTGACACACCCAGCCTCTGAAATTCTGTGTGTTTTGCCTGGGCCTTATATCTGTGTAACATCATGTAAAAGAAACTTGCCGCTAAAATGTTCTTGCATTTTTACTGAAGAAGCAAAATGCATAGTAAGCTGAATCTCTTTTCCAGGCACTTCTGCTGCCTTTGGCTTTTGGTATGAACCAGGAGCAGGCTTGATATGAATGATATAGCACTTTCAGTCCCGTGTTTGTTTATTCCTCATGCTGTTTACATTGTATTGAAGGATCAATATCAATTCTGTGCTGTAGCAAACTTGAGAGGGAAAAAAAGGGCCAGATTCTGCTATCAGTTACATTAGTATAAATTGGGAGTAAGTGTACTGAAATCGGTGGTATAAGAGGATATGAACGAGAGGAGAATCATGCCCATAAATATAATATAAGGATATTAAAACACCTGGGATAGTGCAAGATCAGGACTAAGTGTCTTAATCAGTGAGGCTTCCATTGCTTCATGTGTGAGATTGTTCCACAGTCAGTAGATTGCTTGCTGCTAAGAAGGTTTCCAGATAACCTAAATTTTCTGTCCCTTAATTTCCCCTAGTTATAGCCCCATGTATCATCCTAAATAATTCCTCTCCCTTCTTGGCGTTTACACCCTTTAATGAATATTAGTATTTCAGTAGTGCCTAGAGGCCCCAACAAAGTTTAGGACCCCATTGTCCTAGACACCGGACAAACACATGATCATTTCTATTGCGATTGTAAACTCTTTAGGGCAGAGAATCAGCTCTTACAAGCAAAGGGTAGGGGGGGATACAAAGGCACAGATTTGGGCAAGATCACACAGCCGGGCAGTGGCAGAGCCAGGAATAGAACCCCATTGTCCTGATTCCCAATTCAGTGCCCTACCGACTAGATCAGGCTGCTTCTCATACTCTGGCATGTAGATGGTTCTTACCTATCTAACAATTTTATCATCTGCTGGTGAAAATTACGTAAGAGCTGGGTGGTTTTTTTTAATTATTATTTTATCATTATAAAACTTTTATTGGCTTCTTTACTGTCTTTGTATCATTTATGAAGGAGGGATGAATGATCTCTGAGGATTAGAATTAAAAAAGAAGGATTCAAAACATATTTGGGTGTTTCCATGACATGGGGGGATGTTTTCTAGGTGGAGGTAAAAGGACTATGCCTTTGTTTTGGGGTTACTGTTTCTCCTTGCTTTTTGCAATATGTTCCGATGCTTTTACTAAACCATTCATTGGCATTAGCTGGACAGAAACTCTTTTAAAGTGAGATTTCGTGGAAATGCCTGCTTCATTGGAGAGCCCTTTGTGAGAATTGAATACAGAGCTGTGTTTTCTCAGATGAGATTGCTGATCCTGTGAGGATGGAAGCTGGTGATGCAACGTTGGCTAATCACAACTCGATATTCAAGGCCTTTCCTCTACAACAGACTGCTATTCCAGGGGATCAGCTTTCACTGTCTGATGACAAGGTTTGGGATCATTTCTCTCTACTCATTTACAACTTCACATCCGCCAATTCGAGTTGCTGAAATGCATCATTTTGACTTAATATTTCTGTTGGTCAGACTTCTTTTTAATCTTCTGAAGAGCCAGTTTCAAAATGAAATCCCTCCTTCAAACTCTTTTCTGCTGTGATGCGTACAAGACATTTGACAGTAATTAGGCAACTGATGTGCTGTGACAGCTGCTGTTCATGTTGACTGTTTTTTTCTCATTTTATGTCCTTGTGCTCTCCCTGTCTATACATCTATCCACTTGTGGGCTCTTGTCTCACACTCAGATTGTAAACTCCTTGTGGCAGGGGCTGCCTTTTTGTTGTGTTTCTGCACAGTGGGCCCTGATCTGTGACTGGGGTCCTACTACAATATAAATGATAATACAGTGATGCAGAATAGTCTTTGAATTCTAAAATCTTGCACATTTGAAATTGCGACCTTTTTAGTATTTGTTTTACAGTAGCATCTGAGGCCTGAGCTGTATTTTGCTGAGCACTCTTGGAAAATATAACAAAAAAAAATCTCTTGGACCAAAGAGTGTATAGTCTGTGTTTACTGATCAATGTAGAAAGCCACACTTGCATGTGCGCACACACACACAAATATTAATATATCATGTGAAAGCTACACGTACAATCTGTGGAAGCGACACACATCTATGGATACACACACATATATATTTTGTGGAAGCTACTCCCTTGTATGTGTGTATACACCCTCACATATATCTTATGGAAGCTACACAAAATTGCATACACTTACTTTTGAGACAACCGTGTGCTTGCAAGATAGTTATGAAAATTTACCAGCTTAGGTACGAAATCTGGTTGCCTGCCCCACACTGTGGTGATGATAAACGTAATATTTTACTGGCAACTCATAAAATAAAATTCACCCCAGAAGGGTAGAATTTTGCAAGGCTGCTGGTAGTGGATAGTGCCATCTTGAAAATTTGCCATGTTGTCAGAAAAGTGTTGACATACTATTGCAACTCATCCTATGATCGCACTGTAACTTGCAGAAGGTATTAGAGTAGCGTAGCTTTATTGGTCATGCCCCAGTGTCATTTTTCTTTAAATAATAACCTTAACAGTTAATAATTTTGATTCTCTTTTTGTGTAGTTTTTACCAATCAAGTTTGGCAGTTTGGAGAGAGCTTTTACGTGCTCCACGGGAAGTGCATCATGCAGTCCAAGTTACTACTCAGGTAAAACATGCTTCCTTGGAGTCAGTTCAGTTACACAGCAAGTGTCTTCCTAAGTGCTCAGAAATTATAGCATTGCATTAAAATACTTTAGCTCAGGCTAAGCTGGCACTTCCTGCTTTGTCACTCAACATTTTCTCAAATATTGTCTTAGGCTGGGATTTCCAAAGGGAATTGGGCCAGGTTCCTTTGAATATCCCATTTTCTCACCCCAGGACTGAATTATGTTTTTGGAAAGTTAGAATAACATCTTTACAGCCATTTGGGTTGTGCAAGTTTGTTTGTTTGTTCTTTGAGGGGGGCATGGGGAGTGTGGATATTTCTAAATGCATCCGTAAGGCCCTGATATCCTGCAAGCTGTTCCATGTGATTGGATTCTTACACGTGTAGACAGTCCCACTGAAGTCAAGTTATACCTGAGGCCCTTTCGTGTTTAATGCTGTATAGTTGGAGCTGAGCATGTGGGCTCTTTATTTATTGTTTAATATTTCTCTCCTGGCAGAAATTCCATCCTCTGAGAGTTACCGGGTGTCGGGAGAATTGAGAACGTTTGGACCAAGTGCCAACGGACAGGGGAGGGGTTTGGTACCCACCCTGGGTTCTATGTTACAGAAACCTAGAGTGAGTCGAAACTTGTATCTCGACACTCGCAAAACTCCAAGGTGGGTATGGTTCTGCTCCATCTTTAACACTCTTCCACAGGGTCCTCATTAGAAACCAGTCATTTAAATCGTGTGTTGTGGAGTTTTTACTGCCCCCTCTGACATCCAAACAGCATGACATCTTTTAAAAGCCTTTGATAAACAATCCCAAATCTTTCAATATCTTAACAAAGTTCAATATAGCATTGAATGAGTAATGATTTGGTGTCTAATGTGACTCTGCTTTTGCGTCCTCATAAAGGCCAAGGTCCTCCTGGGCTCTAGCTGCTATTTTGCATACATGGTAGATATATCTGAAAATCTTATCACCACAGCGGTATAATTTGTCATCTTCAGAAAGTTGGCATAAAACGTAGCCTTTTGGGGGGAGGGGCCCATCACAGAGATCCTTAAGGTCCCAATCAGATAATAGCTGGAGAAACATTCTCCACAACCACGCTATGGTCATTTTTTGCCATTCCATAGTCACTTGGCAGCCAATCGGGGGAAAAGGCGGGAGCAGGGTGTGTATGTGGGGGGAGTGAGAGACTCAGAAGGGAACAGGTTTAAGCCAACTTTAAGTGCGTTTAAAAATTCCTTTTTAGACCTTACCTGAACACACAAGTTGTGGCACTTTCACTATACCAATCTAGTTAAAACAGTACAACCCCCTTTAGAATGGAGGTATTTATGCCAGTATAAAGCTGCCTTATGCCAGTATATCTTATTCCCATATAAGGCAGCTTTATACTGGTATACATATGTCCATGCTAGGGGTTGTACTGGTATAATTATATTGGTTTAAAAAAGCACATCCCTAACAAAGTTATACCAGTACAAAAAATTAGTACTATGAACAGATGGGAATTCATATAGAGTAGCTATTGAAACTATATCTGCATTGCAAAGTGAGTTCATGAATTACTCTCTGGAGCCTGAGATGAGAGAAATGGAAAAAAATATGACTAGGTGAGAACAAGACCAGTGAAGCAGCTGTTAATTCTGCTTCTCTGACCAATAAATAAATAAATAAATATAAAATATATGGAGATATACCTATCTCATAGAACTGGAAGGGACCCTGAAAGGTCATCGAGTCCAGCCCCCTGCCTTCACTAGCAAGACCAAGTACTCATTTTGCCCCAGATCCCTAAGTGGCCCCCTCAAGGATTGAACTCACAACCCTGGGTTTAGTAGGCCAATGCTCAAACCAATGAGCTCCCCCTCCCCGCAGTGGAGACACTGATAGATGGACGTTTTCATTGACTGCTCAGTGAAAGGTAAGTTTCAATCTCAGGGATGCTGGGACTCCAGTGAATACCCAGAAACTAGACACACAGCATTCAACTTGTTGCTCCCTTTTGGAGCTGTGTGAAATATCCTTCTCTGCAATAAAAAGAAAATACGCATAGCAACTGCACCTTGAAAATGATCGTGTGTGGTGAGCACCCGGATAAGAATGGAAAAAAACGGATACACTACAAACCAAGTTAGGTGGTAATAAATTGGAGCTTTGCAGTAAGAATCTATAGAAACTGATACTAAAGATACAGGGACAGATGCTCAGCTAGTGTAAATCATTGTAGCTCTGTTGGCTTTAGTGGAGCTATGACCTCTTATGCCAGCTGAGGATCTGGCCTATTCTCTCTTGAAATATCTGACTTCTTAATATAAAATCGTTGCCATCTCAAGTTAAGATCTCATCCATCTTAACTTTCAAAATTGTGCTTTAATCAGGATCATTGTGCCATCTGGGGGCCAGACTTTTGAACGTACATAAGTGTAAATTCAGCTTAAAGGTGTGTGTGTGTGTGTTCCTGTTAATTTTAGATTGTTTTTAATTTCAAACAAAATGCCAGTTTCTGACTGATCCCCCTTTAAAGAAGATGGCCTAATATTTTTTTTTAAAATCATTAAAAGTTCTAAGGGTTTTCCTGCATCCCTGCTGATGTTCACAAGGATCTTTTGGGTGGGCCTGGGATCAACACTCCCAAATGGAGGCCAGCCCTCTCGTCTCCCTCTATGTGCACATGCCAGTGGCAGCAGTGAAATGCGGACTCTACATCTAAACACCTTCCCAGGTCCTTGGAGAGAAGAGTGGAGAATCCAGTTTCCTGCTGTGTCCCTAGGCTCTCCTTGCTCCCTGATCTACCTGGGGGGAGAGTTTCTGTTGTATTCTGCTCCATACAGGAATCCAGAGAGAGAATAAAAGGGTTTCTCCAGCCCTGCATCAGTCTCCTTTTTCCCCTGGCTCTTTGAGGGGGTTTCTGCGAAAACGTTTACATGTCTGTGATTGTAATGCTTATTTTGTAGACTAACATTCTGTCCTCTTTCCACAGTGGAACGTCAAATAGTTTTGTAGGGAAGTCAAACCATCATTGTCACGTATCTGCATATGAAAAAACATTTCCAATCAAGCCCGTTACAAGTCCCTCATGCCGTCGCAGCCTGCTAAGCCCCAAGAAAACCCAGAGGAGATTCGTCAGCACTGCAGAAGAGGTAAGAACAACCAGGGAGACTTAAGTTTGAATGCAAGATCTTCCATTGGATAGGACTGTATGCTGCTGTCTGGGATGTTCAAGTGCTGCTTTCTTCCTGAACTCCAACCCGGACCCCTTTCAAAATCCTGCTGCAACTGGAGTGGGCCGGATGGGGGCAACTTCCCCTTGAAATCTCAGGAGGGGGGAAATGACGAGAGAACCTCAGGAGACCTGATTCAGCCGTGTGAGATGTGAAGAACTTGAGCAAGGGTTCCTGTGCACTTTGAAGACTAGAGTCAACGTTCCCCTTTATAGATGGAGTAGTGCCTGCTTCTGATGTACTTTCGGTTTCCGTTAGGCAGAAGTTCGGACTGCAGCCTTGCTCCTGTGGAGTTGGCAAGCTCTGCAATCAGTCTAGCCCTGGTAGCTCTCTGATCCAGTGGAGCTTAAGTTCTGTATGTTCCCGAGACCACTGGTGGGCGGGTGTCTGCTCTAGCAGAGTGCATATAATCCACAGTGTCTGTCTCTGCTCCTGCTCGCTTGCTATTATTGATGGTGTTTGTATTTGTTAAGCCTGACTTGAGTCTTAGGGCAGTGGTGAAGTGTCTGATTATTTCTCTGCAGACAGTTCGAGAGGAAGAGCGAGAGATCTACAGGCAGCTGCTTCAGATGGTCACTGGAAAACAGTTCTCAACATCCAAGCCGGCCTCGCTTTTCCCCCTTCACCTGTGAGTATATGAAATACCCTCCCCAACTGAGAGTCAGTATCATGGTGCCAATTCTTCTTCTCTGGGAGCTTTAATCTTCTGTTTGTGTGTAGGCCCAGATGTTTGAGTAAAAACGTCATGAAAGAAACCCCCTGCAAGAATGCAAAACCATTCGAAACGTACAGCCTCGCTCCTGTCAGCCAGTCAGCTAGTGTTGTGGGAACACAGGAGCAGCCATCACACAAGCCACCACCGTACCCTGTATCCAGTTATCCCTCAAATGTTACGTTTGAGTCCGATAATACCACCACTCAGCATCAGCGAGATAATCTACCAGCATCCAACGCCCAGCCTGAAGGTAAAAATACACTGAGATCAACTAAATGTATGGGTCAGAGATCGCCTTTTTGTTCTGTATTCCCCCCCCCCCCCCCCCCCCCGTGCCAAGCACAATGGGGCCCTCGCTGCCATCGCTGGTAAAATGTGGGTCCGGCTGGAGAATCTTGCCTGTATGCTCGGGGTTCTACTGATCGCCATATTTGGGGTCAGGAAGGAATTTTCCTCCAGGGTAGATTGGCAGAGGCCCTGGAGGTTTTTTGCCTTCCTCCGCAGCATAGGGCAGGGGTCGCAAGCTGGAGGATTCTCTGCGACTTGAAGTCTTTAAATCACGATCTGGAGACTTCAACAGCTGAGATAAGGGAAATTGGGTGGGTCAGCTTTTGTGGCCTGCATCATGCGGGAGGTCAGACTAGATGACCATAATGGTCCCTTCTGACCTTAAAGTCTATGAGTCTGGGGCTCTTAGGCGCTACTGCAATACATGTAACAAATACTGGTTTGAGTAACATTTTAAACCAATGCTCATTGCTCGCTTTCATCCCAAGTTTTGCTTGCAGTTCACAGACAGATTTCAATCTAATTTATTCCCCTAGTGGGAGAGGAGGGGTAGATCCTGATTTGCTGTCCTCGTAGTGGTTTTGCTGAATTGTAAGAGCAGCAGATGTTTGAAGACAGGTTAAATTGCTTCCTTGTTCAAAATGCCTAAAAGGTCGATGGCAACATAAGCGTATCATTGTGGTCGTTGGTAGCAATTGCTATAGTGAAGGTCACAAATAGATTCCGTTTCCAACCCAAAAGATGTATGTTTCAGATGGCTATTCAAAAATGAGCATATAATGGAAAGTGTTTGACAGCCAGTTTTAATTGACACTGCCTAATCATATATTTGCCCTTCTGTGGCACTCTTAATCCATGGGACTCAAAGCATGTTGCAAACAGTAATGCATGTTGCATCTTCTCTCCTGAGAGATGGGCTATAAGTCGGGAAGTGCAGGAAAAGAGAGAGAAATTGAGGAGTTCTATCACCATCCTATTCCCTGACCTATTTGTTAAATTTTAAAGCCTGAGGAATTGATAATAAATAGGGGGTTACAAAATTGCATTGTCCTTGGCATGTATCAAAATCACAGGTCCCAAATGTGGTAGTTTCAATACAAATGTATCTAGAGAACCTGCTAAATAACAAACCTCTTCCAGGTTCATTCCAAATACTCTGTGTATCCGGTCAGTTTAAACACACAGCAGCAGCTATTGCATCAAATACGGCAATACAATACAGCAAACATACAACTTCTTTCTTTCCCTTCCTGCTGCTTATCTTATTTCCCATTGTTGTTCTAGTCTCCTCTTTCAAACCATTCATACTTCCTCTGCCTGTTACAATTTTATGTATTATTTTAGATTATTTTCATGGTTTGAGACAGTGTTAGTTTTCAACATTAATATCTTCTAGGGTAACATGAATGATTTTGTAATCTTTTATTTCGATAATGTAAAATCTAATGTACCTTGAAAGCTGAGCTTTCAAAGGAACCTAAGGGAATTAGGCATCCAAATCGGGCATCTGCTTCCCTTAGATTCCTTTGAACATCCCAGTCTGAAGTTTAAAATGAAGATCAGAATTTTGAATCCAGACTGAAAACCTGTTTTAAGTATGAAAATGGGGCATAAGGTACAGAAATTTGCATAGGGAGTATAGTAAAAACTAGCCAGGGTTTGATGAATATTCTTTCTTTTGCTCTGGGTAGGATCAGACTCGGTCATTGTGCTCAAGGTAAAAGATTCCAGAACTCCGGCTCCAAGGTAAGTTTGTAAAATGGCACATATAAAAAGGGTGGTAATTACTCTCCAACGATCTTCCTGCCTCTGGTTAATTGGCTGTTTTCTTTGCTCTGTCCCTGCCAACTTGCGCAGATTCTGCACTTTGATTATCTTTTCCATAAGACTAGGTTAGTCATCTGTTCTGATCACCACCATGTTGCAGGGTACCTCCCTCCACTGCTTCCACTGACATCTAGCATGTCCCTGAGTCTGCAGTGATGGTGCCGGGAGCACCTCCCTTCGGAGTTTGCCCAGTTGCTCTGTTAAGTACTGTTTCCTAAAATCTAGACTAAACATTTCTCTGCTTAGCTCAGGCCATTGTTCCTTATGTCATTATCTGCTGCGATTGTGAATAATTCCCTTCAATGGAAACCTTGCCTGGAAGCTATTTCTAGACTGTGGCATTGTCTCTGTGAGACTGCACTTGAATCTACATGAATTAAATCTCCCACATTCTCTCCTTAGTGTCTGATGCACTTATCCTTGTATCATCTTTGTCACCTATTTTAATTTCCCCTAGTCTCTTCACTTCTTAAATTGATGTATATGGGACTGGGAGGACCATTCCAGGTGGCACAATTCTAGTGATGTGCCGAGCAGTACTATCGCCTGCCTAGTTATACAAGCAATTTCCCTACATATACATCTCTAAATAGCATTGTCTGTCTTCATAATGGCACTGCACTGTGACCTTTTTAGTTTTCTCTCCCACTGTTTTTTTCCCCCCCTGTAGGCTTGATATTTTCCATGTAACTGACTTCCCCCTATTTCCCACATCTTGTATCATAGCTGATATCCTGGCAGAAAGTTAAATGTAGAAATGGTTTCTATGCAGTGTAGAAAATCTGACCCTTAAGATTCTGTGCTTAAGATTTTATAAAGTGCTTAGCAATCCCCATTGGAAAATCAAGGCCAGGGCTACTCTTAAAAGTTTTGCTGGCATAATTAAACTAGCAAACCCCTCCTAGTAGAGTGACAGCTGTACTGGGGTAAAAGTGCTTTTGCTGATATAGTTTATGCCAGCTCCCTGAACTGGCAAAGGCACTCTGAGGTTGGTGTAGGTTTATCTACACTAGGACGTACATAGCTATATTGGTAAAAAATCACATCTCTAACTGACATAACTATGCTGGCCTGACTTTTAAGTGTATTACTGTTGTTATTATTTCTACTACAGATTGCAACTAAAAGGCCCACTAACCCAATAATTTTGCTAATGCTATATTAAGCTTTCATTTGATGGTGAAGGTTACTTTGATGCTGAAGTTACTTTTAAAATAAACTAGGGGGGAAATATTTGCCCGCTGAGAAATAATTCAGGTTGCTGTAGGAACTTATGTGTATTCCTGTTTCTGTTGATACTTCTGTGGCGCAGCAATCACGTTCTCATGTGGATTGATCATGTTCTTATGTTGAACTTTCTTTCCTCTCGTGACTGGGTTGATACGCATGTAATTGACTTGAACCTTAACTTTAAAGGTGGTTTTAAATTTTTCACTTTTCATCCAAGGGGTCATGGCATTCTCAGATTGCAGTTGTTTGTTATGTGAGCAATTAAAAGAGTTGTCTGCTGTCCACGTAGAGGCAATATTCACGTTTTGTCTTGTTTTTTCCCCCTCTTTTAGCCTCCCTTTCTTCCAGGCAGAATTGTGGATCAAAGAATTGTAAGTCCTTCACATTTTGATTCTTTCCGTTTGCTTTGGTTTGTTTTTATTCAGAAGGTCAACAAATGACCTAACAGCTCTAAGATCTAGACCAGTTTTACAAGGTATGTAGGCACCTAAAGATGCAGATAGGTACCTAATGTGATTTGCAAAAACACCTGTCTGCATCTTTAGCTACCTAAATAACTTTGTATATCTGGCCCCCCTCTGTCCAGATGGCTAAATTCTCATCCAGCCCCTTATCTGATGTCTTGTCTCATATCTTGACTATTGCAATCTTGCCTCCCTTCAGTCTGTTCAGAATCTTGCCCTCTTCCTAGCTTCAATCATATCTCTTCTGTCATAGAATCCATCCCCCGGCTCTATCTTTCACACGTTGCATACAAGCTTCTTGACCTTCGCCTTAAGGTGCTTTGCAGTTTAGCTCCTCCCAGCCTATCAGATCTATCACAGCATTGACAGCTACCTTTCTACCAGCTTTTTCTACCTGTTCGTCTGCTTTTCCCTCAAGCACCTCTGAGCTTTCTCCCATGTCATCCCCTTAAGCACGGTACAAACTTTTCCCAGTACTTATCCTCCTTCAGCTCCGTGCATAAGGTTCATTTCCTCTGTGATGCCTACAGAACATTTCCAGCTTATAACAGGGAAGCAGGTGACAAGCTACATTGTGCATGTGGACTGACTTCAATGGGAACACTCACATACTGTAAAGTCAAGCACGTGTTGAAGTACTTTACTGGATCAGGGCCAGAGGGCTCGGCACTTTGCAGGATTAAGCCATGTATTAAGTGCTTTATTGACACTGATTCCCATTGCTTTGTTTGGCTCTGGGCCGTGCTATGGTTCTCTTCCTGCTAGAGACACCTGATTCATCCCATTTTTGCCTTGAAAAACAAAACAAAACTACCACTGCTCCCTCTCTGGAACTTCTTGGGCTGTAGTGAGACAGGTGGGCTGGGAGAGGACACAGCTGTCTTTCTGAGAGATGCTGAGATAGAAACTTCTTATTGTTTGCCACCTGCCTGAAATCTGCCCTGTGGAGCTTCCCAGTGTTCTGTGCTGGTGGAAACAGGCACAGCAAATAACAGAAGGTGAAAAAGTCTCAGTATTCCATAATCCCTTTGCTGATGCCAGAATATGAATGGTTTACGCCACCCAAGTAAACGTGAATGGCAGATAATACAAAGTATGTTCAGTAGTGCCAGAGCTGTGCACGGTGAATTTGTTAATGTAGACAAGAAGCTAACCCAGGGGCTGTAGATAGTTTAATGTGATCTGTTTTCCTTTTTTTGGTCCTCTTTAACACCTGAAACAACTATGCTGTTTGTACCAATGTCTTTGTTTTCCAGAACCAGCGTCTATGATTCACGAGCCCGCGAGAGATTGCGTCAAATAGAAGAGCAGAAAGCTTTGGCATTGCAACTGCAGAGCCAGGTAAAACATTTGGGCATGTCTAGCACTGAGCATTAGGGTTTAAAGCTGCCTTCCAGTTGCTCCAGATAGTTGGTGGCTTAAAATATATAGAGTTGGAAGTAGCGTGAGCCAGTGGATATGCTGCTGGACTGGGGATCACAAATAAATGTCTGCTAACTAAAGGGGATTGCACATTAAAATATAAATCAGAAGGGGTCATGAGGAAACAAACAAACAAAAAAATCCTTCCACCTCCCTAAAGTTTAATCTCACCTTTTTCCTTTTTGAGGCCATTGCTGTCTAGGTCAAACACTACCCATCTCTCTCTAGCTCCTGCCTGCCTGGCCAGCTGGCATTACTGGATCTGTATTGCTCCCTCACTAGCCCAGGCAGACGGCTTATTTGAATCTAGGTCTCCACAGCCAAAGGCTTAAGGACGTGAACCAAAGCACTTCTCCCACTGACTGTAATGGTTTTGGGATTAGGGCCTTCAGTGCACGGACTCCCCCACTACATTGCTCCTTCTGACTTTTTACCAGAAGCTGTGGCTCTAAAATGAGTCCCTCTGTCCAAGTCACTGATTGGGAATTGGGCGCCTGACACCCAGAAGGTGCTACAAAAATCCTCGGCTGTTATGCTGACCTAAAGATCTCTCTTTCAGAGATTGCAGGAGCAGGAACACTTGATACAGGACCCAGTAGATTTGAATCTTCGAGTGCCTCTTGAGAAAGAGATCCCTGTCACAGTTCTCCCTGAAGAGAAAGAGAATGCTAAATCAGCTGATAACGAAGAGGAATTCCCTGAAATCACAGAGGTAGATCTGCATAGATTATTAACACTTGAGGCTATTAGCAAGTCTTGGAGAAGCACTCTGTGTGGCAGATGTTGATCTTGAAATTGATTCAAAATACCATGGGGAGGAAGGGAAAATGGTACACTAAGAGCTGTTCATTAAGTAAAGCAAGGCGGGGTGTCTTTCTAAAAGATATGCTATCGCTCATATGGGAGTTACAGACTTGAGGCCTTGATGAATGAGGTTCTCTGGCCTGTGTGATGCAGAAGGTCAGACTCCTTTCTGGCCCTAAAATCCATGAATCCCAATGAAGCCAAAGAACAGAGTGGCTTCCACATGGACAGTCTCTGCCCAGTATTATTCCTACAGCCATTGCTTCAAGCCAGTTTTGTATTGTTCCAGTGGGATTAACTACCAGATACCCAAATCCTCATTGTGCTTCTGCAGTGTCACTGTCACATCATTCAGAGATGTCTGGTGGCCTGTTCTTAACTTGGGCCTTGACTCCACATAGTTTTTTGTGCCAGATTCCTGAGCTCAGCATTTCAGGATCTTTTTGCTTGTTGGAGTTGTCCTAGGACCAAGCCTTTCCCTTTTCCCTTTGGAAAGGGAAATCTCTTTACTAGTTTAGGTAGCTAGAACGCTTGAGTTTATATCAGAAGCTCCTTTTGTGTTCTCTGTAGGAAATGGAGAAGGAAATCAAGAGCGTATTCCGCAGTGGAAACCAGGATGAGATCCTGAGTGAAGCTTTTCGGTTAACGATAACCCGGAAAGACATTCAGACCCTGAACAACCTGAACTGGCTTAACGATGAGGTAACTCCTTCACCAACGCAACTGCGGGTTCCTTACTTCTAAAAGTGAAAAGATTCTGGGGGAAGCAGTAGCTACTCCGCACTAACTCTTACTGCACACTGAGTGCCCTTAGCGAAACTGTCCGAGGGCACTTTTAGTGCACGCTAAGTGTGTCCACATGGAGAGTTAGTGCAGAATAGCTGATACGCTTTAAATTCACACAAGTAGAGCCGAGCGCATAATTGACTTTTCAGTGTAGTGGCCCAAAAAAAAAGTTTGGATCCAATGAAACTTCAAATGTCAATTCCAACCAACATTTCTGATTTTTTTCCCCCCCCCCCCTTCAGTTTTGGCTGGAAAAAAAAATCCACCAAATTTGACCCCGAATTTGAAACTAGTTTCTGTGGTCCAAAAAATTCATTTTTCAGCAACTTACTATTCAACATTTTTTTTTTTGTCCTGCTCTAGTAGTAAGTTAAAGTGAGTAAACTTGTCACTGTTTCTCCCCCCCCCCCCCCCCCCCCTTATTCTCTAAGGCTACTGGGGAAGGAGTGGGATGATGGTGGATAATCTGAATGGGGCAGTGTTTTGCTCTTTTGCTAAATTTTAACTTAAGCGATAGTTGTCCATAGTGCAGAACGGGTACCTATAGCTACACTGTAGGAACTCTGAAGAAATAACTACTACTTAGTAGTGCTTAGGGCCAAAATTTCAAAATCCAAGTAATTAAAATTAAGTTCTGAAATCCATTTTTAGAAATATTCTTTTGCTCAGAGAACTCACTTTTTCATGTGCATGCAAAGTAATTATTGTAAAGTGACCAGCAGTATAACACTGACACACATGGATGCTTTTCCCTCCCAGATAATTAATTTCTACATGAATTTGCTGATGGAGCGAAGCAAAGAGAAGGGGTTGCCGACAGTTCATGCGTTTAATACCTTCTTTTTTACTAAATTAAAAACTGCTGGGTACCAAGCAGTGAAACGGTGGACAAAAAAAGTAGATGTTTTCTCTGTGGATGTTCTCTTGGTGCCTATTCATCTTGGAGTCCATTGGTGCCTAGCCGTGAGTATTAATTTGTTTAATGTTGTATTAAAAAGAATGACTAGCTGGAACAGATGCAGCATGAATTCGTTTATGTTCAAGCTGAAAACTTCCCCATCTCTTTTGTGGTTTGTGCACCAGGCAGATATGCACTGAGAAATTCACATTCATGGCTAAAGATCAGGACTTCGATGGAGGGCCACAAAATATGTGTAATTTTTAAAGCGTGATTCTAACCTAAAAAGTGGCTCTGTAAAAATGAGATGACCTCATTTTTGGCTTGCTGGGATTCATATCAGATTTGCTAATTTTTTGAATAAAGAGATTTCGCCCCATCGGTCCCACAAACTCATCCTACGCTCTGACAGCCAGTCAAGGTTTTTCACCCTGATTCATGATTACCAGTAATAAAGGGTTCTGTGGGCCAAATTAAGCCCTCTGCTGTACCTGCACAACTCAATGGTCCCTCCGAGACACCTCTTTCCTGGGAAAGAAGAAGTCACTTGGTTTACTGTATTATTAACAAGTCTTTCTCTTTATGTAGGTTATAGACTTCAGGAAGAAAACCATCACCTATTACGATTCCATGGGTGGAATAAACAATGAAGCCTGCAGGATACTGTTGTGAGTAGCCGATCTGTATTTGAGTGTCACTGTTTTTGTTTAAATGTTACAAATATTCCTATTCCTTACTAAATGATGAAGTAACACACGAGACATTTAAGATTCCGAGAGTAGATGGAACGCCGTGCTCTTGGCCACAGCTAGTAGCTGAACATTCAGAAGCAGCTAAGGATACAGCAGGAGCCGGCTCCCACCATGTTTTGGTCAATGTCACACCCTCTTAGCTGCGGGAACAGGTGTTACCACCATTTCTTCCAGTTGTTTCCCCACTGTGTAACTTCTGTTTTATGTGGGGTTGGCCTAACCTCGCTAACTCTCATCCCAAAACCCAGCCTCTACTTGACACTGGCTTCTGCCACATCTGGGCCTAAGGAAATAAACACACGGAGCTGTGACATCTGTATACTGAAGACATTGTAGCCCACTGCCTCGCTATCTTTTCTAAGAACCACTCGTGTTGAACAGAAAGGTGATGAAATAGAACTATGTGGGTGCACTACAGAAGAGGTCCATCAGGGTATGCAAACTATTGCACAGTGCTATTCTCTATGTCCAGGGAATGGAACCACTGGCCCAACCCTCATACAGCCCTCACAGGGACATCCTTGTGGTTACAAGTTCATCAGAGACTCAGCTCCAAACAAGCACACTCATAACCTATTCAGTCCCTTTTTTTACACTTCAGAGGTCTTTGAAGAGGAGTTTCCAGGAGCTGGTAGTATGCAAAGGATCTCTCTTCCCTGTGGCATATCTTCAAAAGGTTGGCTTTGGAGTGGGAAAATTTGTATTCTCACCTCAAGATATTTCCTGCAGAAGTCCACTTCTCATGTATTGTTCCAAAAAGACCTTTAGATTTCCTCATGCCTTCCAGAGATTAACGCAATCTTGTCTTTCTGCTGCAGAAGTTCTGTAAAATCACACAATAGTACATAAACATTTGCATTTGTAATACAATGACCTCCAAAAACACTAATTCAATAAGGTTTAATTTAATTCAATAAACTTAATCTTAACTCCATTAAGTTTGCTCTGGATATTACAGGATATTGTCAATCCATCACAATCTTCTCTACAAGAAAGAAAGCAGGACTGATTTTCAGATCAAAGAGATGGATTCTGGTCAAGAATCCAACATCTGCCTCTTTGAGAGATGGCACCTGTTGATATCTCCTCCAGGAAGGAACCTGGTGTTTCCCTTCTGGATTTTGCAAACCTAGTGCCCATGTTCTTACCTTGGCCTGTCCGTGGCAAATAGCTTGGTAACCTAGCTCCTCCATTACAGACTGATACATTCCTCCCGCTTTCCCTCCACCTCCCAAAAAACACAAATGTGTCACTCTCCCAAGAGGATCATTAAGACATAGAGAATGGTGACCTAGGTGGTGGGTGGTTTGTCTCATGCTGAGCACCAGAGCTCCTGATGAAAGTCTGTGCATGTCATTTATGTCCCTGATGAAGCTCAAGGCATGAACATGCCTTAGCTACTGTTACCAACCTGGATCGGGACTAAGATATTTTCTCTCTCTGACTCATGCTGAAAATCAGGTCCTGCCTTCATGCCCGTGAGCATGACTCTAGGATATGTATGGAGCCTTCAGTGTGAACATGCTTGCCCCAAAGTCTGGAGAGTTGAAAGGAGCTTTCATCGGAAGTATTGCAAAATCAAGAAAAGAAAAGAAACAAAACCATCCAGTCTGAAGTAGCCCCTGCAGTTTCCCAAACCGAGAAGCTGGTTTGTTAGAGCAGGGTTACAAATGCAGCAGTGTACAAAATGGGCAAAACTTTCAAAGGTTTCCAAGTCCTATTTTCAGAAGTCATTGAGGTGCAGAGGTCCCCAAGTCTCATTTAAAATCAGTGGGACTTAGACTCAAGCAACTTTTGAAAATAGGACTCAGGCTCCTATGTCACTTAAAAAGAACAGGAGTACTTGTGGCACCTTAGAGACTAACTATGTCACTTAAAGTATTTCTTATTCTAGGGTTAAATTGGTCTGGTAGCTAAATCTCTCTTTAGAGTCATAGCACACTCAAGTGATGTGTTCCGGTATTGCAGGGGATGTGTTCTGTGCTTTTTCTGAAACCCTTTTTTGGTTTCTCTCTGTTTGCACTGAGCGAGTCATATTTAGAATTGGAACAGTCGGCAATAATCTAAATTAATGTAAATGAAATATGGACGTGAAATATAAATGCCTAGGTAGGAATCGCTTTCAATATAATATTGATTATATTTAGTACCTTTCATCCCTTAAGATCTCCAAGTGCTCTCTGAGTTCCATATACCAGAATCACTTCACTCCCTACAAAAATAGCTTCATGACTTCTCTTCCATTTCTAAGCAGCTAAGCTGAGAGATTCATAGATTCCAAGGCCAGAAGAGACCATTTAGTCTGACTTCCTGGATAGCACAGGCCAGAGAACTTCCCCAAAATAATTCCTAGAGCCGACCTTGTAGCAAAACATCCAGCCTTCATTTAAAAACGGTCACTGATGGAAAATCCACCATGACCCTGGTAAATTGTTCCAATGATTGATTAATCTCACGGTTAAAAATGTACACCTTATTTCCAGTGTGAATGAGACAAATCCGTGAGAGGAAGAATTATGAGGAAAAATGTAAAACCTCTGAAAATGGGCTTAGAATACAGTGGTCTCAGACTTAACTACTGTTGCGATAGCAAGAAGTCACCAACATCTGGTAAATAACACTACAACTGAGATGTGGTCAAATAACTCAGGAGGTTCTGCCTAGTAGTGCATTTAGGGTTTTGGGCTGAGGACCCAGCTCTTTAGATCACTAGCTAACAAAACTGTTAAGCTACAGCATAGTGGCCTTGGATTTTGGCCTATTGGCTAATGGGATAGGTGGGATTTGAGAGAGAGACCCAAGATTTCAGCCTATTGGCTAACAGCACAGTTGGAATCGACAGCAGCAACCTGCAATTACAGCTCATTCTTGCCCGTGCCATAATTCCTTTTCCCTTTGTTTCCTTTTAGGAGGCTTTTTTGGTTGAATGCACTGGGAGGATCACACCGGGAAGAGGGGACGGAGGTCCTATTCATGGTTAGTGACCCTTTCATGCTTTCAATCTTTAGAGCTTCCTGAAGGTGGTGAGTTTTTAAATGATTTTTAGCCCCATTTTACTGATGGGGATGATTTTCAGGCATAGAGCGGTTCGGTGATTTGCTGAAGGTCACATGGCTAGGAATGAATAATGATTCCCCAGCTTTCTATAGCTGGGTGAATGTTATGGCAGTTGTGCTCTACGCTGCTATTTGAGGGCCTGGAGTATGTGAATGTCATGGTAGCTGTGCATTAGACCTTGCAAGTGAGGTAGGGTTGGGCCTGGTCAGTATTTGGATGGAAGATCTTCCAAGAAGGTGATGCTGGTTATTCAGTTGTTTTTTTGATTGTATCCCTCTTCATAAATCCAGTGCCTGGTAGCAAAGTGCCCTGTGCTATACTAGGAGATTCTGCGTTTTGACTCAGGGCTTGTACACGCTACCTCTTATGTCGGCATAACTGATGTCACTCAGGTGTGTGAATAAGCCACACCCTGAGCGACGTAAGTTGCACCGATCTGGACAGTGCTATGTCGGCGGGAGAGTTTCTCTCACCGACATAGCTACTGCCTCTCGGGGAAGCGGTTATGATGCTAGCAGGAGAGCTCTCTCCTATCAGCATAGAGCGTCTTCACCAGACACACTACAGCGGCGCAGCTGCATCGGTAGCACTTCTCATATAGACTAGCCCCCAGGTATAAAACTAAGGTCCTAACCTCTTATGGTCATTACAAATCTCAGTATCATTTTCTCAAGAATAGGAGTGTTAAAGGGACGACTTAAAAATCATACTTATTAAATCTTTTTATCTATGGTTACAAGTCTCAGCTAAGAATGCCCAGAACTTGAAAGATAAGAGGGGAATGTTTTCCCTGGTTTTTCAGGGTTTTTTAACCGTATGCATGTAGCAGCAAATTTGTCATCGATTTCAATGTTTTACCTGCAGAATCAGTCAGTTTCTTCTGTTTGTGAAGGTCTTGGAGGGAAAAATATTTTGAACTTTAGATTATAAATCCACAGAAATTTATGGGGGGGGGGGATTTAGGAGCTGAAGACTCTTAGCTATACTATTTTTTTAAAAACCTGACTATATCAATTTGATTTATCCCTTTTAATCCCAATGTCATGACCAAATGCAACCTGGAAAAATTAAATTTCTGCCTCCATAAATTTCCTCATGCAGTTTCAACTGGAGACATGCATCTTCTTCCCCCCGCCTAAAAACTTGTTTTGGGTTGTTGCTTATGCACAATTGTTGCCATGTTTATGTTTATTGTGGCTACATTCATGTGGTGCCTTGAGTGGTCCTTATATGTGCAGACTCTAAATCACCAAGGGATACTTCTGGAAAACAGCATGAGAGATGGTCGCTGTTCATGATATGTATGTTGCTGTTAATTCCCGTGCTGTTCTACAAACCATGATGTAGAATTTCCTGGCCTTTGTGCATTTACCCTCTCAACCCCAGCATTGCAGTTATATGGTTTGCAATTACTCTAGATTAGATTACATGAGCCGCCGAATCTAGTTCTTCACTAGAGCTCATATGCTGTGTTTACACCTCTGCTGCATTCCCTTTACCCGCTACCCCTTGATCCTGCTCTTGGCTCCCCAGGCCTGCCCAGAGGCTCATGGTTCACCCACGTAGATCCAGTTGCAGAACTGAGGTCTCGTTCTGAAATACATTCCAGTTGATCTCGCATGGTGCATTCTCTATAAATCTGCTATTTATTGTTCTGAGTGCTAGTCTCTTTAGAGTGTGTGCAGATCAGCATTCTCTTTGGTTATGCCATTGTTTTACTAGGGATTGAATTTAGATGTGCAGACTGGTAGGATTTCTTCTTTTTAAAAAAAAAATCCCGAGAGTGTTTGTATAGTGCAATGAAAGATACAAAGCACCAAAGAATAAGAGACGGGCAAGTTCTTGTTTTCCCTAGATCCTGACCTTTCCCCCCAGCACCATAGGATTGGGCTGCACCTATCTACCAGTATATACCACGGGCAGCTCAGACTTCTGCACGGGGGCTCTGCCACACCTCCAAACAGTCTCTCACAAGATTCTCTTCCTCAGGCCAGCTGTACAGGGTGGGGGCTCAGCTCTCCCTGCTTCCCGTTTACAGACTTTTTTTGTGAGTTTGGGGCTAGTTGTGAGCGATTTGCCTCCCCCCACCCACCCAACCTCTTTCCTTCTCTGGGGCCAAAACTTGGAGAGTTTAAAGAATATCCAACAAGAGAAGGCTCTTCTCCAGAACTGCACCACCTTCCAACCTCCTCTCATGTATTTGACACCATCCTTTCCTCACAGCCTGGATAAGTTAGCCAGCCGGAATAAGCGAACAGTGAGGAGACCCCTACTTAGAAGCCATTGTAGAGATTGCAGTCAGCCAGGAGACCCTTGCTTAGCCAAGTGAAAGGGCTTGGAGTCTAGACAGCTTATTGAGGCTTCTCCATCTCCCCCCATGCCAGCAGACACTGGTAGAAAATATATTGCTCGGAACAATCTAATTCCAGCTAATATCCAGGGAGCTAGACTGCCCCCACCAGACCCTGTTTGCATCCAGCAAAATGCAGACTGCCTTTTCTCCAAGGAAACAGACCAGAGATCACCAGGAATGGACACGTTGGTGAAGGAAGGATGGACTAGCTCCCACTCTTCATTCAGGGCTGTTCCAAGTTATCTACCTGCTGTCAGCTTAGCTACTCTGCTTCCCTAGTCAGTGCCCATCTTGTGTAGATTGTTCTGATAGAAGGTTAAGTGACTTTCTGCTCATGACAGAATTTGCCATCATTTCAGCATGTAGATTCCAGTTTCTTGTAACTCCTTGAAGAAATACTTCTGGCACAGTGGTCATGTTTTGGGACTGCCCCAGGTCTTGTTCTTTCCACAGATGATCCTGGAAATCGGGGATAGACAACCTGACTGTTCTTATCTCTAGGAAGCTGATGCCCTGGAGTCTCTCTGACCTTCACTACATTCGCCATGGATGGAGGAGCCCCATCTATGCTGCTTGTCTTGAGGCTGATGTCCATTGGCAGGATTTGCCAATGGGGTTTGCAAAGGAAGAATTCTGCTATCTGCTTTTCTTTTTCCTCTAGCCAGGGGACAGAATTACTGGATGGCTTCCTCACCTTCCTTTATGTTGAGACTGTTTCCAGGCATCTAAGAGGAATCCTTGAAGCTCTTTTAGGTGCAGCCTTGCCCATGAGGTTATCTCTGTACAAGAGAGAAGGTATGGGAGGGTGAAGGTAAAGCTGGATGGTGAAGCTCTGCTCCTCCACACCTGTAGGATTATGGGAAATTAACCCCTGCTCTTATGGACTTCTTTACAGGGTGGTCTTGAGCTGGGCCTCAAGCATTGCACCTCCTGTCTTGCCATGTGTCATCAACTCTGGCTCAGGCATGTCTGCAGCGGATCACTTTTCCTTGGGCTGGCACCTCTGTCCAAACTGACAACCAAGCCCGTGTTTCTTACCTGGGATCTTCCCACTGTGCTATTGGCTTCTGTGTCCCATCCATTCAAGCCCATGATATTTAATCTCTTATTTCCTTTCTATGCTTCCTGATCAAAACCACCACAGTAAGAAGAATCCGTGACATTTCTGCTTTGAGAAGATGCAAGCCCTATGGGACCTTCCAATGGGACAGCATTTTTCTTTAGAGTTCAGAGTCCTTTGTAACCAAGATTTAAGTCTGCATTCCCTACCTTATAGGAAACTAATTGGTCTGTCCAAGGTAGCTGAAAGGAAAAGCCTGGCATGTGCTAGACGGCAGAAGAGCAGTGAAAATTTACCTTAGGAGAACCGAACAGCTGAGGGGAAATATCATTTGTTCGTCACTGTTCAGCCTTAACGCCTGGGCTTGGTGGAGCATCGGAATCCTCCTACGCCAGGCAGAGCTCTGCATCACCACGGCTTGCACAGCTTCCGATCAACCAATTCCAGAGTGGATCGGAGCCCCATCAACCCGCCCCAGCATCCTGAGCAGAAAGTGCCTTAGCCACTACTGAGGAGACCAACCTGCAAAGCTGGCCCCTGGTCATCCGTCAGCACCTGCAGCAGCCTCCTTCAGCCGGAAGGTGCTCCCAGGAGCAGTCCCAAAATACTAATCTTTAGGGAAGGGGGAAATTGCATTCTTTGAACGTTCTTCTCTCTTCCCGCCCTGCCAGTGTTTCCATACCGCTAGTTGCGCTCCACTTGCTTGGGTCTGGGGATGAGGTCAAGGTCCAGAACTGAAAATCTGATTTCCCTTTTTAGGAGTGACCTCACCCCCAGTCCACCCAACCAAGATTAGTTCTTCAGGTGATTTTTGCGATGGCCTCATTGGAGTCCATGACATTTTGGGTTTCAATGCAGTGTGGAAGCACTTGCCTGGAGAGGGATTGTTCTGAGGTGTGGCCTTCAAAAGAGAGGTCTGAGTTGTCTCTGGAAGAGAGGCACAGCCCAAATGTCTGACTGGGGCAGAGGTCCTTTCCGGAATAGAAATAACTAAGCAACGGATTTTCTGTTATTTCACTGGTACCACCCTTGCCCTTTTCCAGTCCTCAGGCACCTGCCCTGATCTCAGTGATGGCTCAGAAGTGAGGGCCACCTTGTGAATAAATTCACGAGCCTATTCCTTGGCAACCCTAGGCTGCACTTCATCTGGGCTTGCTCTCTTGAATGGATTGTTTTCCTATTTTCCTTTACATTTTGTATCATCAAGATAGACGTCTTCAAGGAATTTCCCTGCAGTCAGATTGGCAGGGACCTGGGGGGTTGCATACTTCAAAGCATGGGGCATGGTTTACATGAGATCCTCTGGGTATATCTCACCTAATCAATTCTTGCCATTGCAGGGGCCTTGGGCATCGATGGCACCTCAGTCTCTCCTAGTCTGTGTGTGTGGTACACAGCTTAGTCTCCTGAGGACTGAAACGCTTTGGTCTAACTAAAGACTTTGGGTTTAATGTAGGAGTATTTGGGTGAAAATTAATAGCCTGTGATATACAGAAGGTCAGGATAGTTGATCTGATGGTCCCTTTGGTCCTTAAACTCTGAAAATATTATTTCTCATGTTGTAGACAGATTCTATAGAGCAATTTTATAGCTTGGCCTCTCTAGACTTCTATATAGGAGTTGTCCTGACTTAGTAATGCATCTACTTCATTGCTAGTATTCCTTTCCTCCCGATGGATTTATAAAAGCCCTGTCTGTTCCCCTTTGGCTCGCAGTAGCTCATTCTGCTGCCCTGATCCCCCTGCTGCTTTAGCTAGTATAGCTGGTATATTCTTCTTGGATTCTCTCCTCTTTTTTTCTGGTGCAAACTCATTTTTTCCCTGCACATCTTTGGAGTTACTTTGGCTACTTCTTGTTTTTTTGTATTCTCTTGATGGCTTTTGTGGTCTGCTGCACCTTAATTTTGGTGTTTTCAGGTGTCCCATTTTCCCACTGCTGGACTGAGTGTGATTTGCTTAATTCCCAAAAGATGCTTCCTTGAAATCGAATATCCTTGAGACGTTGCATTGCACAAAGCCCCCCCCGCCCCTCCCCTTCCCTCCCGGCATTACTATGTTGCATTCAAATAACTCACGGCCACTAGTTCTAAGCTTTCCACACACACACACACACACACACAGACACACACAGACACACACAGACACAGACACACACACACACACACACACACACACACACACACACACACACACACACACACACACACACACACCCCCTCCCTCCCTCCCTCCCTCCCTCCCTCCCTCCATATTGGTAAAAAAAAAATCAAACGTTCTATCAATGACGGAATGGAACCCTGGGTGAAGAGGTCTGGAAGAAAGATTGCAGAGTGTTAGACCCGACGTTAGCAAGTTACATAGTGTCCTGCAAAGTTTAGTGTCCAGGCTACTATTTAACATCTACATACATGCAACAAATTGCTGTTGTCCACATTCACTGAGGATAGCAAGTTAAAGTGGGAGGAGGAGATGATGAATGGGGACAGCAAAATGTGAGAGGCAACAATCTACAGGAAGCTCTAGATACCGGAGAAGTCAATTCAGTCTCCAAACCTAAAGCTCATTTTGCAGGAGCCTTTCCAGCCAAGCCAGTGCCTGTTTTGGCTCTTCCATATCATGAGTCACCCCTTGATTAATCAGGAGATTTCTGCTGACGGTTTTGTGGCTTTGACAGTGGATATTTTGGGGATGAGTTTCAGAGCTCTGCTCAGTCCTCCTTTAGATTGCCCAGAACTTTAAAATTCTGTGTTAAAAAGGCAAGAACTGCCAAGGGGGAGAGAGGAAAATATTAAATTTCCGAAGCCCAGTTCTCAGAATTAATTGGAGATGGAAGTTTGTGAATTAAAAACGACTGGTTTTTTATTTGTTGGTTGTTTCTCTCTCTAAGCACATTCTCTGTCCCGTTTCCTGCAGGCAATACTTAAAACAGGAAAGTCTTGACAAAAAACGGAAAGAATTTGATGCTAACAACTGGTCGTTGCTCAGCAAGAAGAGTCAGGTACGTTGGTCTCGTGCAGCTAGAGCCCATAGTTGGGGACCGAGAGAGCTGCACAAATTGTATCGTGGCCTAATCATTCCCCATTGTTAATCTCTCACCGTCACCTGACGGTCGTGCATGGGAAAGCCGCTTTTCTCCAAGATGAATCAGCAGCAGCCCCAAGGGGATTTGCTCTCCGTGCATAGCGCTTCCATCCCACCAGGGAAGAAGGATGGTCGTGTGGTTAAGGCAGTGGAATGGGAGTTAGAAGGACCCAGGTTCTGTTCCTGGTTCTGCTACAGCCTTTTTATGTGGCCTAAAGCAAGTCCCTGCTCTCTCGGCCTCCATTCCCCATCAGTAAAATGAGGCTAATACTCCTCGCTTCTCTACAGGGGTGTTGTAAAGACAAGTTCATGAATGACTGAGGTCCTCAGACCTTAGGGTGCCTAGATAGGCACGACTACCTGGAGTCCGTGATGCACCATCAGTCTCCTCTTTTCAGTTGCTTCCCAGAGTGGGTCGCTCCACACTGTTTTTTTTTTTTTCATCCCCATTTGACCAGGCTACTATTGGCCCATCTGTTTCGAAGCTTCGTTTTGCCCCAACTCCCTAAATCTCAAGTACATGGGGACACCCTGGGGTTTTCTTACCTGCTTCAATGCTCATGGCGCTTTATCTGTGGAGCGTTTGCTAAAGTTAAGGGGAAGTTTTAGTCTCGTCGAAATATAGAGGCTCAGGGCTTGTTTTTGTTGTTGAAGGAAATCCCCCAACAAATGAATGGCAGCGACTGTGGAATGTTTGCCTGCAAATATGCCGACTGCATTACCAAAGACAGACGGATCAATTTCACCCAGGTAAGCTGGGTGCTGACACGTTGGTGTACGCTGCGGGGCTAACGCAGGATCCCATTGGCAGCAGGTTAGCTCACAGGGAATGATGATAGGAGGATCAATAACAATGTTGCCAATTGACACTAAATGTCTTTATTTTCCAGATCTTCTGCTCCTTTCTCAGTTGTCCGTGTCTTCTAATAATTTTCCACACTTAGCACAATCATTCATTAGGTCCCTTAACATCCCAGGATCCGTAGGACTGGATGACACATTTGTATATCTTCAGATTTTGTTTTCCCCTTCATCAATATCTATTTTAGTGGGTTCCCCTTGCTCCCTATTTATTGCTAGCTGTGCTGTTCTCTTTACGTGGGGGCAAGGTGTGTGCATCACTTAAGTCCTCAGAGTTGGCCTTACTGGGACGCCAGTGGCACAGAGGATTTCTACTGGCCATACAAATTTGTGCCACCAAAAGCACCCCCATCCCCTCCCAATGTCAACACTCTTTTGTACCTTTTAAGTGGTTAATAGTCGATTGGCTTGAAAAGAACGTAACGATCACGGTTTCATCTCTGCTCACATGCAGTGAAAAGAATTAAGGTTGAGATTTTCACAGTAGCTTAAAGGAGTTAGGTGCTCAAATCCCACTGAATTTCAATTCAGGCACTTTGTTACATTTCATGGGGAACAGGCACGTCTGTAATTAATGTGCAGTCTGGCAATCGGGCGTAGAAACCATCTATTAGGAAAAGGGACATTAACGTGTGTGTGTTCTCTCTCTCTCTCTCTCTCCCCCTTCCCCGAAGCAACACATGCCCTATTTCCGCAAGCGGATGGCCTGGGAGATCCTCCATCGCAAGCTGTTATGATGACACTGTGCCAAAAGCTGGATCCTGGAGAGATTCTGTCAAAAGCGTCCAGACTCGCCCCTCTCAGCAATCAGCAATCTCCACTCCAACAGACATGGGACTTGCACTGGTTTCCAATCAAAGAAATCTTAAATGACTCAGTATGAGTTTTTATGAACTCCGCTCATGGAACAGTGCATGATGGGAACTGTCAGAAGCACACTCGCCTTTTTTCTTGGGTTTTTTTTTTTTTTTGTATTTTGAAACCTATTTTTACAAACTGGTGGACAACTTTGGACATTCAAGGAATTTATTTTCTGCTTCTAGAAACTCGCTGTCAGTTTCACAGGGCTGATTGCTCTACACTTACAGGTGTCTAGAGTTCAGGGAAGGGGAAAGCAAGGACATGGGTTTCAGCATTCCCACTGTGAGCAGAAGAACTTAACTCTTAAACTTCGTGGTGGGATTTTATGGAATGGGAATACTTGGGGATGGAAGCTTTGTGGGCTTCCCTTAGAAGAAGCCCTGTTAGATACCAGCACATAGGAAGCCGCTGCTCTGTTGATTGCCAGCAAATGGGTATGCTTGCAGCTGGTAGAAACTGGACAGAAAAACGTAAGCCCTTTGTGTTGATAGTCAGAAATAGTGATTCTAACAAGGACTCGGTTCTTTGTATCCATCCTGCTAGCGACTCCCATATGAACTCTGCTCTCTTTCAAAGCCAGCATTTTTTTTTTCCTAATGGCAAGCTTGGCCTCCTGTCCCCTGAAATCAGTGCCTACCTATCAATCGCGCCCGTGGTGTCTGAGACAGAATAGGATACGGCGCTTGCTTCTTGTAGAGCTGACAGGAAAACTACAAGATAGTTTCTTTTGCGAGCAAATTTTTAAGCAGCCAGGAGTCAGATGATCCATGGGAATGGATTTGTTTGGCTCAGGTGCCACCTCTGCAGCATCATTTTTCTGACCAAGGAAAATAAGTCTCCCATTTTTTAACATAATATGTTGTTTATGGAATTCAGGTACAAATACAACTTCTCGTAGGTTAGTATAAACGTAATGATGATGATTAATTGTTTCTTATATTTATATTTTACAAGTGTTTCCCAGAGCAACAAAGAACAAACAATTTAATATGTATCTTGTTCTGCAGCTGTTTTCCTGCTTCCTTGATTTTTAAAGTCCTATCAAGAGACAGTGGATTTGATTCTCGCCAGTCACCTTCATTCGTGGGCATGCATTTACAGCTGAGCAGTGTGGGTGGGAAACACCCCGTCTCTGAATTCTCCCCTCACTGCTTGGTAACATTTTGCCTAGGTGTAAGTGATGACACAAGGTGCGAAGCTGTGGTGTTGGATCCAGGCTCTGGATCGAGGTTAAAATGTGCTTCCAGAGGCATCATTTTTAGGTACATTCAGGCTGAGATTTTCAAAGGAACCTAAGGGAATGAGGCACCAAAATCCCATTGATGTTCAGTGGGGAATTAGAAATAAAATTTTTAGAAGCACTTAAGCCTGTTGAAAGTCAATGGGATTTGGGCATTTAAGTCATTTAGATATTTCTGAAAACTTTTCCCTGGGTGTTTGACTCCCTTATTATCATTTGAAAATCCCAGCCTTTGTTTTTGCTGATGCATTCAGCCGTCTAATTTATTTTGAAGCCTGGTGGTGGGTTTTTTGGGGGGCGGGGGCGAGGGGGCAGGGTGTGTGTGGGCGGGGGGTTGACTACGATTTCTCAAACCACCAAGCCTAGTTTCTCTCTCCAATGTATGTACCTTTTTAATTATCAAGTAAAGAATTCAATAATGTGCTTTTGTATTTTGTCTCCGAATAGGGAATATTTTATACATTTTTTTTCTGTACCTCTATAAGCAGTAGTTTTGTACAAAATTTCCCCCCAACTAGGTTGTGTTCTTCATAGACTGGTTTGTAACTTCCTTTGTCTATGTGTGTTTTATACCAAGCTCATTTAGTACCTTTTTTTATCTTTTACGGCAAGTAAAGATCTGAAAACGGAAACTGTATTTTTTGTAATGTTTCGCTGTTAAATAAAACTGTCTGTAAAACTGTCTATCCTAATAACTGAGGGACTCCAACGTTTTTTCTCTAACAAACTGTTCATATGTATGGATGGCAAATTGACTTAATACATTTTTTTGTATTTTGAAATAAATATCACTTTCAATAAGCTGTCTACACTGACTAGTTTTCGTTTTTCCCCACAGCTCTTTCTTTACCTGGGGCCCTAAGAGGAAAGACGCATTTCCTGATGAAAGATGCTTTCGGAGGATTCCCAGCTTCCGGCTCGAAGGTTCAGACATTTTAAATGATTTGGCTCTGGTTCAGCTGGTTTCTTGCTCTCATCTGTGGCACATCCCCATGATTACGGTATCATGTAAACTCTGCCGTTTTGCCTAGGGTACACCACCTGTGTGAGTTGTACTTTAAGATGCTTTGGGCCTGATTCTCAGTAACCTCATTCCTGCATTTAAGCCACCCAGTCCAGGGACTATGAAGGTTCCTGCCGTGTGTGCGCCCACCTTCCTTCCCAGTGTAACTTAGAGCAGCCTCAAGGTTGCTCTAATTTAACTTTGGCTTCCCATAGTCCCTTGGAAGCAGAGGAAAAGCTGTAGTGCACTCTGGCTATCCCCTCTTCCAGGGGTTGGGAGCAAGGCCCATCTTACACCAGTTCTGCACTAGCTGGGGGAGGACCATACATAGGTTATAGTATTAAAGGCCATTTCTACCCATCTTTAAAGCCCCTTTAAGGCCTCTTTAACCTGCTCTCGCAGTATAATGTAATAATCAGGTGTCCTGCCAGGGGTGTAGGGTGGAGACCTAAACAGCTGTACCAAGTAATGTCATTAACTCCTTCAGTGTCAGTAAATCCAGGAGAGAGAGAGAGAGAGAAGGGTGGTTTATTCTTTGGAATTCTAGTTGGATTTTAATCCCTTGAGACCCTGTATATGTACGTGCCCTTTACTTCCTAGACATGTGGATCTGACACCAGAGCAACTGTGCTTTCAGCTGACACAAACAGTACAGATGGGCTCCCCCTACTGCTGGCTCTGACCCTGCTTCTGCAAAGACATATGCACCTGACAACACGCCACCTGGGTGTCGTTCCATTGACTTCCATGGAGCTGCTTGTGGGGCGTGCAGGTAAGCAGTTGTAGAAGTCTGCTGGGTGATCAAACCTAACCATCCAAACTGCTGCAGTGTCAGCAGGTTTAATCTGGTGCATGTATTACAATGCTTTTAAGTGTCCCCTTCCCTCACAGGCATCATAGGGTGGCTTACAGTACCTCGAGACCCCCAGCAGGATCAGGGTCCCTGGCGCAACATATCGCAAAGAATTTACAAACTACATAGAGAAAAGATAGATGAAGGACCCCTGCCTACCACTGTGACCCCTGTCGTTTCCTTGCATTCCTCTGCCGGCTTGTCTGTTTCCCTCTGTTGTCTCTCATCTTTAGACTGGAAGCTCCACGGACCATCTTTTTATTTTGTGTTTGTACAGCGCCTAGCGTAATGGGATCCTGGCCCGTGACTAGGGCTCTTAGGTGCTACCGCCATACAAACAAACAACCTGGGTTTCCCAAGGTCCCGGCTAGTGTCCTAACCATTGAACTCCATGCGTCCTCATATAGCCCTTGTAAACCAGAAAAAAATCAGCTGATAACTATGCATCAGTCACTTAAGGTACTTAAGTAACTTTTTTTTAAAAGGTAAAGATAAGGTTACTTCAAAACAAGTCTCTGACAATCTGGAAATGGAGTCACAGAGCTACCTGGTCATCCTGCCTGACCTCTACAGGACAGGCCCCCACCACCACCAGCACCCGCACACTAAACCCAGCCACTGAAATTAGACTAAAGTATTACAGCACCCGGGAGACTAGAGCATTATGGGCAAAGACTAGGGGGATTGAGGCGCACCAGTACCCAAGCCCCTGCAGTGGCAGGGAAAGAATTAAGTGAGAGACACCCAGATAATCCTGGCACGTGACCCACACCTGCACGCTGCAGAGGAAGGTGAAAACCCCACAAGGGCACTGCCCATCTGACCTGGGGAAAACTCCTTCCCGACCTCATCTGGTGATGAATTAGACCCTGAGCGCATGAGCAAAAACCAGCCAGCCACACAGCTGACAGAGGGAATGCTTGGTG